TAATAATAATACATAGTTACAAATCATCTGCTTTGTAACGTTCTATTATTAAAAATTGTGTAATGAAATCATACAAATCGCAAAAGAAATAATCCTTGGATTAAAACATTTGATGAAAAAGAAATAATCTATGAAAGTCTAGTAAGAATATTTAAATTTAAGTAGCTTAATATTTATTTTTACAAAAATTCTAAGTCATTTGGTTTAAAATCTCACTAGCACTCTAAAATATTCTAATGAATGATGGTAAACTCTTAATTGAGAAACGAATTACAACAAAGCTCTGAACGATATATGTTTAATGATTATATTATCTAGATCTTACGGACTTGCAGGTCTGTGATAGTTTATTCATTTTTGTATTGTTTTTAAAAAGATAAATAAATTAAAAATTTAATTAATCTAATTCATTAATTTTACCTTGCATTGGAAAAATTAAACTTGGAAATTATTTATTGATTTTTAACTTATATTGTATTGGGCCATATTTGATAATCTGTAAGCAGATATAATTAAATTGTTTTCTATGAATTATATAAATGTTGTTTATTATATAGTTATTGGCAAATCAATTAACTAAAACAATTTTTGCTTAACATATGAAGGACATATGTATCAATCTAAAAACGGATGATGTTGAAATTTTGGGCCTCGATTTAAAAATATAAGCTCTGCTAAAATCCACATACACTCTTTAATTATTAATTCTAACTCTAAACACTAACTCAACTATAAAAAAAAAATGAGGAATAAATACCCCAAAATTTTTTAAAAAATTCATATCAAAATAGGTCCGAATTTTAGCATCAGCTATTTTTAGCATTAGCCGTTTTCAGCATCAGCTGCGACAATTAATTTTGAATTAAAATTTTTAATTAGATTCTAGTTATTCGGTTTTCTAATAGAATATATATTTTTCGTATATTTGTGATATTTGTTAAGATCATAAATTTACGCTAGCAAAATTAGTTTATTTGTCTTCAAAAAAATTTATAATTCTTAGATTCATGCCCATGTAAAGATTCATTTTTAAAGTAACAATATTGTGGTTCTACTAGTCCTTGAGACATCTGATGATTTTATTAATACCATCATATATTCTACTTTTAAAATCAAATATGATAATTCTCATGTAAACTTCTTGTTCAGAATGGAATAATTTTAAATAAAGTAATTATATTGAACTACACGATATAATAACTTCCAAATTTAAAATAGATAATCAAGTAGATAATCAAGATAATTGGAGAGTCATTGTTAATAATTCAACCAAGATTAAACACAGCAAAGACAAAATAGAAGTGATCAAACAATACTAATAAATATTTCATATACATTAAATGGTGGTTAGTAAATATGAGTTAATTAATTATTTAAAAGAACAATTTTTTATTGATTGTGCCCAACATTCATGTAACCATATTCTATATTTGAGATGCTTAAAGCCAGGTCCATCATTAGAACAAACTAACTCAAATATTTATATATTCAAAATTGCAAATTAACATGAAGTTTTAATTTACCGAACCTTACGACGCAAAATTATACATAAAATTTTGCAAAATTATTGAATGCTCGAGATCCATTAACTATTTTATTGTAAAAACTACAAAAACTGAAGTTTTATGTATAAATAATTGAACAGGCCGCATCTCTAAAAAAAGAACTCACTAAAATAGATTTCAATATCCTCGGCATTTTTCACCTTTTTAGTTTTCATGAACTATAAAAATTTACCTCTTTTATCATGTATATTTTTTGAAATTGCATAGTTATCGTAAATGCTATCCTTTAGTAAATTAATGATTTTCTTTTCATTTATGGCAACAAAATCAATTCTAGAAATTTTTGGGTTAATGTACCCTTTTCCATAAATATCCTCTAGTGCTTTATCAAAATTGTTTTCAAATTTAAAATTATAGACAAGTATTGTCAAAAACTCTTCATCTTTGTTTTCGTTTTGATAAATAGTTGACCTTGCCTTTTCTATGTTTATTAAATTTTTTTCATTAATAGCTTTTTTATCCCAGATGATGAGATAACAACAATATTTCCCAAAAGAAACTTTCAGGAATTTATATTTTTTGTATTTTTTAGTGATTATTTCTATTTAATAAATCAATTACATTTTGCTTGAGCATTTTTTTAAGATTTAGAATAAATAATGATATTTTAAGAGTATTCAAGCTAGAATTTGAAGCTTTAAAAATGAAAAAAAATCTTTAAATACTTCAATATTATATAAAAAAGCTATTTAAAAATAATTTGAAATGTAATAATAGAGATTATCTTATTAATTGAAATATTTAAATAAAGAATTAATTTCTACATATCGCAATCATAATTAATTTCTACAATATTGTAATTATAATTAAGAATATTTAATAATTTTAATTAAAACCTAATATATTTAACATCTTTCAATTACAGCAATGATTAAATTTTTGAGTTTGGAGCTTCTTTTTATATTTGGCTTATCATATAAGCCATAATACTTAACCAGAATATTCAACATCTGGTTTATCATTGTGTACGTTGAATTGTGAAGTTTTCATGTAAGGAAATAGAGTATGAATTTGGCTAAACAGAGCATAAATTTGCGAATAAAAAATTTGGGCAAATTTAGAGTATAAATTTGGGCCAAATTAAAGTAAAAATATGAATTTGGGCTAAATTAGAATAAAAAAATTTGGCAGGTCTACATGCAACAATTTTCGTCTTTATCGTTATAGCAAATATGCCTCATATTTATGAATAGCTGACACACATTTGTGAGCTATTGATTTGAATACAAATTTCTCACATTTTGTTAGCTATAAATGTGATACAATATGCCTAACATCTGCGAACTTTAAGTAAATAGACTGCCTCTATTTGTGAGCTATTCGATATGAATACAACCTTCCTCTCATTCGTGAGCTATACGATATGAATACAATACCTCACCTTCATGTGCTATAGAAAGAAAAGGTTTTGCCTCACATCGTGAGTTATACGATGAATTATTATATAAAGAAAGTTCAATAATCCCTCAGTAATTTACAATTAATATAATAAACTAATAGTTTACTCTAACACTGTAGTTAATTATTTGTCCTATCGATCGCTAATTAGATTTAAATAAACTACTAACTTAAAGCAGTTTCACGAATTTTTAGTCTATAACGATAAGTATTGCCATGTCTGTTACTTATTTGATAATAATCCTTTTAGCATAATTCTTTTTTTCAAAATACATTTATTCCTTCTATATTACCTAACAAAAAAAAACTAAACAAAAAAAGCAAAAAAAAATTATTTAGAATTACTTACTCTTAATGTTAAAATTTTTCACTACTTAAATTACTAAAATTAGTACAAAATAGGTTGATTTCATTAACTACAGAATTAATTGAGTAATCCTGAGAATTAATTAAGAAATCTTGAGGGTTGTAATGAAGGTAATTTATATAAGGATTGTAAATTGAAGTAGCAATATTTTGCCTATAATCAGGTGATAAAAATGGTATAAAACTTAAGGGTGTAAAATAATAGGATTCGATAGGTAAGGTTGTTGAATTATTTTGGAAGTCATTATTATCTAATAAATTTTGTGCTTTGTTTGTTTCATGTTTCAAATTATCTAATAAAGCTTGTACTTTGTTTGCTTCATGTTTCTGTAACGGTTCAATAATTTTGTTCAGCCAGGATTTGATTATATCATCAGTTATCAATGGAAAATGTGGTTTATAATTATTTGATTTTTTACTTTTTTTTTTGCTTTTGTTTCTGGACTATATTTATAATTCGGATATAGTAATTTGTGCTTCAAATTTGCTATTTTCGTTAATCTCTGCCAGAACTCGTATTCATGTTGATTTTTTTTAATAGCAGCCCACCTTTCCTTCGCAATTTTAGATAATTTTGGAACGCTTTACTGGTGGTTTTTTTATTGTTATTATTTTGTGGATTATACTCGGCAGATATATTAATACGAAAGAGTATAAAACAATTTTGTGGATATGGTATTGTTTTAGCCCTAGTATTTATTGATAAATTCTATAAATGATCTAACCGTTTTGTAGTTCGAACATCTTTAAACTCTTGAATAAATTTCTTTACTAAAATAACTATTTTCTTGTCTTCATTACTAAAATCAAAATTTTGCTGAGAGATAGGTTTGTGGTTGGACTCACGTTCGTCTATAGTTGGAGAACTAGAACGATTTGGTATTTTTTTTAAATTTGAAATAAAAATCAAGCTTATCATGCTTATATAATACAATGCGACACATAAAAGAGACCATTACTGTATTATTTTATCATGCTATGTATTATTTGTTAGGTAATGTAACCACAAATATAAATCGAAGAATAGATTTTTTTTATATCTAATAGGCATGTGATTCATTCAAAATTTTAATATAAAACTGAAGTTTTATATGTATAGATAATTTAAACAGATCGTATCTTAAAGTTTATTCATTTATTCTATTGAACAAATAAATGAATTATTAGAAAGAACAAGTGAACAATAAAATATTCAGATCCTAATTTATAATCATTTGAAAAAACTTTCACAATTAAATGATCACAATAAAAAATATTTGACTCAGTATTTTCTACTAAAAGCTGTATTGTATAATCACTTGAAAAATAAGAAAAAATATTTACTAAATAACAATTATTTTTAATTCTAAAAATATTTTTTTTTATCGATAGTTAAAAGTAAAAGATCTAATCAAACACTGAATAAATTGATGCTTAAGTTTTTTTTTTAAATTAAAAAATTAAAATTAATATTAAATTAATAAATTGCAATAACTCATAGTTTAACACCAACTTTCATAAATTAAATAATAATTTAGATTAAATATATTCTCTCTTCCACAAGCTGGTTTATCCTTTCTCTCAATAAACTAATCATTTTTTTTAATAACATCACTCATACAGTTGTAGATTGTAGCAATGACTCTCCCATCTGACCTACCAGTTCCCCAGGTTGAATTCTTTGTGCCTCTACTACAACAAAAATTCCAAAATTAAACCTCCAATTCTAACTGTGACATCCACTTCATTAACATGCTCCTTTTGTTATTATCAAAATAAATTAGTAATAATATATCAAAATTATAGATACAGATATATACTTATATCCTGACCTTCATTACCAGAACTACTAAATTGCAATATTTTTTTAAGTTTTGTTTTATAAAGCTAAAAAAAAGCACGTATTCTCTTCACCAGGCTAATCACCGAGAAAGATGCCAGTGAAGTCAAACAACCAAGAAGAATGTTCTATACCGGAACATAGACCACGATGAGCTTTCAATTCTTGGATATTTTATATCGACCTGATAGCATAACTTCAAATATATAACAACTCAACAAGCTTGTGAGAATATACTCACCCTCAACTTTTTTAAAACTAGTCGATTCATTTTTTTAAAGGCTTGATGAAATTTCTTTAAATTTAATTTTGCCTAAAATTAAGCTTATTTATAATAACTTTTATTTAATTTGCTTGAAATTTTTGCCCAAAATTATACTTAATCTTATAATTTTTTATTGTAAGTAATTTCGAATTTTGACCTGAATTAAATTTAATTTGTTTTTATAACTAGCAATTTCTACCAGCTTAACATCAATTTGACTCACCTCGATGGCTAAACAAATGACAAATTGAATTAATTCTACTACCAAAATCATCTTTACTATTATTATGTTTATTATCAGAGTGTTTATTATAATTGCGAATTAATTCTACCAAAATTATGTTTACTAGAGTTACTATATTTAGAATTGTTTTCACTATAGAATTTTTCATTCAGTCTTATTACCTAATTTTGCTAGAATTATATAAATATTCAATGAAATTATATATAATTTTGCATCAAATTGCTTTTAATTTTGCCCAAAATTATGCTTAATTTGCTAGTCTAGAATTAATTTTGATTTAGGAAATTTGATCTAAATTAATTTATCACATCACATCGCATAATCATGGACATCCTATTCTTATTAAATTTTACCTATAATAAAACATGTGACTATTTAATTTTGTGTTGAAATGATTAAGTTATCTTACCTGGAACAATATTTAAGTTTACAATATAGGTATTAAAGTTGGCCAAAGCATATGCAATTTCTACCAGCATTAAAATTAATTTGACTCAGTCTCAAACAAATGACCAATCAAAACCAAATCATAGCGATAATATAATTTAGGCCAAATTTTATAAATTTTGTTATTTAAAGTGCCAATACTGCACGAATTTTAAGAACCATAAAATATTGGCTCAATATCAATTTTCCAAATACAGCAATTTGATTAGTTTTTAAAAAATAAAATCCAAAGTCACTTTTTTATTATATATTTAAATTCTACATATATATTTTTTTTTTTGGTGTTAAGGTGGCCTCTTGGCCGGCTCCTTTTATTCGGTTATAGTTAACTTTTACAATATGTGTT